AAAAAAATATGTAACTCCCATATCATTAATTGGGAGTTACAAAATCAAAAAAATTATGATTTTTGTTAATTTATTTTTGTTAACGTAAGAAACATATAAACACAACTATATATATATATGAACCATTGTATCAAATACGAAAAAAAATTGACAAATATATGAACTTGGACTGCATAACATTTATTAACACAATATGAACATAATAAAAATAACTGTTATACGAAAGAAAATTAAAAAAAAAAGAACATAATATGAACAATAGTTCATTAGTTATAAACGCATTCAGGAGCGATCCTTTGTCAATTGGAGTTTTATACATGCATTGCATCCACACCGTTTAAGGTCCACCCCTTATTCATATATGTTTCTGGTCTTATGTGGTTGTTCAACCCTTGTTCATATCGTGTTTACCCCTTATTCATATCGTATAAAATATATGAACACATAACCCCGACGCTATGAACATTAGGTGCAAACACTTACACAAATATAAAGATTTGGTATCAAGCTTAAAAAATAACACTTGTGTTCATATGATATAAGTAACATGAACACAATGGTTCATGATTCATAAAAGTCGGTAATATGACCAATATGAAAATGAGTCGTGCATGTACTTCCATTTGAACATGTGAATTAGGTAGGTATTAATAGTTTAAAAAAAGTTATCAATGCAATATGAACTACAAAAAACACAACACATCATAATAAACATAATTTCGATTAAAACGAGTCTAATAAAATATTAATTCATTACCAAGACATTCACTTTGGTTAATTTCTTCACTTCCCGAACTCGAAATCCGATTGTCACCATAAACCATTTTAATCTTCTCAATGTTTTCGATTTTTTTTCTAATTCGTTTATCCATAATAGCTTGAACGATACCGAAGATTTTACTACCGTGTTTCCTCCACGAATCAAAAACTCATTAAACAATAAAAATGGAAGATCAAGATTAAAAAAATAAATAAAAATATCAATATTATAAATGTATATTTTTAGGGATTTTATGATTTTGTAACTCCCCTTTAATGGTATGAGAGTTACATAGGAAATGAAATTACTCAATTACCYTTGGCATTAAATTGTGAACATGATAGAAACCTAATAGAAGAATGGATTGTGATTGGTTGACATGGTTTGCAAAGTTAATACAAAAACTTTGGTTAACATTTGATCTTGTCCATATATATATATATATATATATATATATATATATAGGGGCTCATTCAAGGGAGAACTGACTAGTTTGTGATAACCGTGAGATCCAATCTCAACCCCAAATCAATAGATAAATTAGGAAATTTTTAATTTTGGTAATTTTTAATCAAAATTTTAATGCACTGACATTTTAGGTATTTTCTCTCCACTCTCCTCTCTTCTCTCTCTGTCCCCGTCTTCCGGCAACCGGTCCTCCGGTGATACCACAGTGTGATACTCAAGCACATATAAGATGCATTGTGATACCACTGTGTTACATATCCGATCGACCGTACAAACGACCACAGTATGATACATAATCACATATAAGATGCATTGTGATACCACTGTGGTATCATGGGAGGACGGAGGCCGGGGGACGGAGGCCCGGAGAGAGAAGAGAGGAGAGAGGAGAGAAAATACCTAAAATGTCCTTGCATTAAAATTTTAATTAAAAATTACCAAAATTATAAAATTCTTAATTTATCTATTGATTTATGGTTGAGATGATCTCACGGTTACCACAAACTAATTAGTTCTCATTTGATTAGGCATATATATATATATATATATATATATATATAATATTTTAATATGTTAAAATTTGTGGAATTCTTATGGAGATCTTCAAAAAAAGTGATATTATAAAAAGGATATAATAAAAATACATGATAATATCGTCTAAAATATGTCCGTTACACCACATAACGTGACGAATGATGGAAATACGTTCTAACAGGGGAAAAAATGAAACACATGTTTTTTTGGGATGAAATAATATTCGATATGTTTTAAAATAAATGTTCATAATAAAAAATGATACACAATTCACGAGTATATAACTGTCAGGCTTATGTTACATAATATATAAATTAAACAAAATTACATTTAATTATATAAATTAACCCATAAAAATACTCTAGACTTATAAAATGGTCATTTATACTTAGGTATGACAAAAATATTGATACTTCCAAATAACTAAATAAAATATTAAAAAGGAAATTATATTAACTTTAAAAAGTAAATAAATAAGAATTACGGAAATCTCAGAATTTGGAGAAACTAGACGTAGATCTTTCTAAGTGCTAAGTGACTCATCTCAGTATTAAAATCTATTTGCATTTGCCATATTGTAACTGAATCAGTAACGTCCTAGTTAACTTCTCATTTATTTCTGTCATAAATAAAATAGAAAAAAAAATCCTTCTTTTTTATTTTAAATTATAAATTACCATAAGCATTATATGATAATTCTTATCTGATTAAAACCATATTTAACAATCATAAAATATCTTATTTTTAAATTTATCGAAAAATTCCGTTTGAAATTACCATAAGTTTCAAGAGTTCTTTTTTCATTTTATTTCAATTATACCTTTTTTATTTATCTGACTACTTATCTTATTATTTTATCTAAGTTTAAGAAAAATCAGTTATCTTTCATTATTTTTTTATAAAATATGTCAGGTATATGTTATTTCTTATAATTATCTATTAATATATAATTTATATTGTTTCATATGTTATGTTTTTGTGTGTATGTGTGTGTTTCATGTATAAACATATTTTCATGTTTATTTTCCATATGCAGAACAATCTTAAACGTTTCATATGTGAAATAACTCTCTACAGACACTACATACTTCATGAAAACCCGTGTGTATTTTATTACAGAAAGTAAAGAAATTTGTGCATTTTGAATTTGAATTTCAATCATTATTAGATAATTACATCATTACCAATTTCGTAACTACATATCTCTCGCTCCCTCCTCTTCATCCTGTCATCGAACCACGAGCAACGCTACTGTTCAAAAACTGAGTAACGCCGTTAACTATTTTGAAAATTTACCACTCCTAATTACTCCCTTAACGAACGCCGAAGGTAATCAGAGCCCAACACCTTTTTTGCATCTCGTCTCCATATGCATATATGAAGTCGTCTATTCATAGGTGCAACCAAATGTCTCGTACATGAAACTTTTTTATTCAAAGCTGTAACCAACTGTTTTATATATACCAAAGGGCCTTTGGCCTAGCGGTATGTGAGTCATTGGCCTTCTAAAAGGTCAAGGGTTCAAACCTCACCATAAGTGAGGAGAGTGTGTGAGTTTATTTGTTTTATTTGCCATATATAAATATTATATATTTAAAAAAAACTGTTTTATGTATGAAAATACACCACTCTCAATCGGATTGAACACCCCTTTGCATCATGCCTCCATCTGTTGCATCTCGTCTCCATTTGCATCTATGAAACTGTCTATTTAGAAGTGCAATTAAATGTTTCATATATGAAACCTCTTTATCGAGAGGTGCAACCAATGGTTCATATATGAACTATCAGTTATATAGTGTCACATGAAAATGGTGTACCGTAATGAGCTTTTTTTTTTTTTTTATCATTTTACATTTGTCAACTACCGTTTATATTTGATTAAAATTTAAGCCAAAATTCAACAAAAGTTATCTTAATTCCTATTTTGTGAGACCATGAATTTTTTTTCTCATCTAGTGTAATAAACGTTTAATTCTTTTTATTTCTTACTTAAAACAATAATTTTTACAACTTCTGATGATGTTGATATCCAATTATTAGTTATACTATAATTGTTGGTTATGTTAAACAATGTAATACCGATATCAACCACTATCACATAACCTTAAAACTTATGCAAGGAAATAATTTATATTATTATATACTAGAAGGATACTCATGCAATGCAGCGAGATACATATTGATTTTAATATTTCATTTTATTCTTTATCTCAGTCGATGTTATAGTATGATCTTATGTGATTCTGAAAAAACGATGATGTTTTTATTTTTGAATAAAATATAAATTTGAAGATATTATAAAAATTTGACAAAAATATATCGATATTAGTATCAAATTAACCATTTAAAATTCTTATTTTTAATTTGTGTAATCTTTTAATTCAATTTTTTTATTATAATCTAATTTAGATTCAATAACGAAGTAACTTATATTTGGAATTTTCTTATAATAATAATAATAATTAATTATTTTATTAGAACTCGATAATTATCCTAATTATATTTTAGATTTTTTTTTTAAAAATAAGATGTTAATCCTCTATTTAATTATGTTTATCTACAACATGAATTCAAATTGAAGCTTTAATAAGTTGTATTTATGCATAATTTACTTGTAATCTTGAATTTTAAGTAATATACATCAATATACAGTACTTCGTGCATAAAAATGGTTTTTAAGTGTTCTTGTCACATGTTTTATAATACAGTGTATATATATATATATATATATATAATTATGTCATTAATTTATTTTGTTTTATTCAAAAAAAATTTATTAAAATAAATTATATTTGTTAATATATAAAACATGATTAAAATAAGAATGTATTTATATGCGTTTTGTTAATTTAATTGTAAGAAATAAGATTGGATATGGTTTGAAAATATAAATTTCATTATATTTTAATAGATTTTGTATTAAAAGTTAAATTTGTTAGAAATATTATGAATTTTGGAATCATATTTATGATCGATAATATTCCTCCATTACATCGATCGATCTTCGATCGGCTTTGTCCCTCTTCATTTCAAACAAATAACTTCTACTATGCTTCCACTTGGATTCCAAGGTTTTCATCTTCCTGAATCTTCTATACATACTATACGTCTGTATCTATCTATATATATACAAACACACACACTCTCTCTTTCTGCTTATTTCTTACTGTCTCTATCTCTCTCTCTCTAAAACTCATTCTCTCTCTCTAAAACCTCCAGGTGGTGGTGGTGGTCGATGGCGATGGTGGAGGTTGGTGGTGGAGATACCAACGTGCAGCATGGGGTGACCTTGACCATACCAAAAGACGAGACCCCACCTTCTCCCGCCACTTTTACTCTTCAGTTCTCCCAAAAGGTTTCTTCTTTTTCCTTTTCTCCAAATATATATACCTTCATATACTTATATATATATACATATATATATATATATATATATATACATACATACAGCATATAGGCAAAGTATAGCGTAAGAAGAGAGTTAAAGTGATAAGCGTAAGAAATGATCTATACCCTTGATCATATTTAATTTCAAACTCACTCATGAATCGCGCTTGGAATCTCATCCTAATGTGCATTCAATGATAAAGAACTCTTCTTACGCTTTCAGTTTAATTGTCCATCTCATCAATATATATATATATATATATATGTGTGTGTATATATATAAAATTGGGTTCAAATGAGAACAGTGAGCAAATAAAAGAATACAAGAACGGCCAAATTATGTGTAATTAATTTTACACAAAATTACGTGTAAAATCACATGTAATTATGCATGATCCTGACCGCCCGCCCGCCACCTAGGTCGCTGGCATCCTGCCCACACACCCATTGCATTAACCATGTTCCGTAATCTCATGTGATTCGATTTGGACATTTTCGTGTTCACTTATTTTAACCAATTTCCTATTTGATCATTTATCTATATATTTACATATATACACAAACACATACATACACCCATCAATCAGTTTTAGTCCATATATATGCACACTATATGCATTTATTAAATATAATTAAAAATTAATCAAGGTCGGATTAGGGGCGAGTCATGCCATCCTTGACCCTACCACAATCCCACTTCGGGTATGAAAACAGATCTCCGTCCCCGCTCTGTTATCCGTCAAACCAGAGAATCCCGACCTGTCAGGGTCGGGTACCTGCCCCAACCGGTAAAATTTCCATCTCTAGTTAGGAACCCACTTCCCCAAATAGCTAAAGTATACGCAGACTTATTACGCATCATGCGTAAGGATTGGTTTTGCCCAAAAAATAATTAAAAGCAAACCTTATGTAGAGAACACTTTATGCATAAACTTTTTATGTAAACTTCTCACTTTCGGTGTAAAGGTTGTTTTTAAATTCTTTTTTTTTTGAAGTTTACATAAAAGTTTATGCGTAAAATGTTTTATGCGTAAGGTTTGCTTTTAAAATCTTTTTATTATACGTAAGGATTTTGCGTAAACTTTTGACTATTAGGAAATTTTCTTCCATACTTGCATTGACTTTGATGTATTGACTATTCTTCTCAATCCTTTTTTTTATTAACCTGGATATCCAACCCGTTATGCGAGCCGACTAATCCCGGGGCGACCACCTGCTTTGTCAGATAGTCCGGAGTCACCGCATTTGAACCTCCGTGGCCACAAGGGGATTTTTATTCCTCCTTGATTTGAACATGAGATCTCCTGATACTTTTGACCTTTGAATTCAAGCTCAAACCAATCAAGCACCACCCTTGTGGTTTATTCTTATCAATCTTTACATGAAAGAGGATAGATGGAGTTTTGGGCAATTGACCTATTGTATTATAAAATACTACCAAACAAGATTTTTCATTATTATTTTCATTCTCGACCCCTTAATAGTCTGAATCAAGCACCTCTTAAGACAAATTTCATTACATTTTAATGTAAGACGGACATATATCTGACTTGTTTGAATTTGTGGACAGTTGATAGCAGAGTTGCTTGCGACGTACTTCTTGGTATTTGCAGGTTGTGGTGTGATTACGGTGAATATCGACAAGAACAATGTCGTGGGCCAACCGGGAATAGCCATCGTATGGGGGGCGGCAGTGATGGTGATGGTTTTCTCTGTCGGCCACATCTCCGGTGCTCATATCAACCCTGCAGTCACCATTGGTCTTGCCTCTTGCAGGAGGTTCCCCTGGAAAGAGGTAATGATTTTGATATTCTCTTTATTTCAAATAAATATCCGACCAGAAAAGGCACATAATTATAAAAAACAAATATTTATTACACTTTTTAATTAGTTAAATGACAATTTTACTCTTAATAATGAAGTGAATAACGGGTTTCTACGTCTCATAATTAAGAGTAGAATTGCAAAATAGATGCTTATTTTTTAAAGTGGACAAAGTATGATTTTGATTTCAGTTTCAACGTTTAATTGGATTGATAACTTATAATATGTTGTTGATTTTGCCGATCAATGTGTTATAAATGTTTTTAGGTCCCCGGATACATTGTGGCTCAAATCCTGGCATCAATCCTAGCGAGCGGAACCCTACGATTAATATTCAGCGGACCGCATGATCATTTTGTGGGGAATGTCCCAATCGGGTCCGATATCCGATCCTTTGTGATGGAAATCATCATCACATTCTACCTCATGTTTGTCATCACTGCTGTTGCCACCGATAATCGAGCTGTAAGCATTGTTTTCTTAAATTTGTTATATCATAACATTGTATTTCAAGCGTTTAACTATAATTATACCTTTTTCACCTAAACAGACCGGAGAACTAGCAGGTGTTGCCATCGGAGGAACTATTCTACTCAATGCCATGTTTGCAGGGTACAACCTACATATACTTTTGAGACTTATCAGTGCATGTCATTACAACTACCGTTATTGGGCGTCCTAATTGGGACTTTAAGTTAACAAGAGCAATAGTCGTGCATTCTACATGATGGCTATAATAAGTTTTATTGATAACCTAATATGACGTAAAAATTAAATACTCATATTTGTCATTTTATATACACTCTTCAAAACTGTCTTTTTATAACATGTTTGATAAATGAATAAAAAAGACTGGCATGACACTTTTAAACACTCTAAGATAAAAAGACTAATAAAATGATCCCTTTTTTTGAGTCCTATTACGTTACCCAACTTTTTTTATACAACTTATTGGGTCGTCTGGCCTCGTCTGATCAAGAACTTAGTGTAATACAGTGAATACGACGCACGAGTGTTGTTTCTATAAATTTATATCCGATTAAAACGTTGTTCCTATAAACTTATATCCGATTAAAACATCCAATGACTTTGGTACAACCTAAAAAGGCCCATTTTGTTGTACTTTAAACATATTATTATATACTAGAAGGGTACTCGCATAATGCAGCGAGATACATCTTGATTTTAATATTTTATTTTATTCTTTATTTCAGACGATGTTATAATATGGTCTTATGAGATTTTGAAAAAACGATGATGTTTTTAATTTTTAATAAAATATAAATTTGAAGATATCATAAAAATTTGACAAAAATATATTGATATTAGTATCAAATTAATTATTTAAAATTCCCCATTTTTTATTTAATTTTTAATTCAATTTTTTTATTATTATTTAATTCAGGTTTAATAGCAAAATAATTTATATTTGGTTTAATAATATAATTTTCTTATAAATGTAATAATCAATTATTTTGTTGGAACTCGATGATTATCCTAATTATATTTTAGATTTTTTATATTTTAAAATGAGATGTTTATCTTCTATTTGATTATGTTTATCCGCAGTTAGTTACACGAATTCAAACATGAAGATTTAATAAGTTGTACTTCATAATTTATTTGTAATCTTGCATGTTAATTAATATGCATCAATATACGGTATTTCATGCATAAAAAATAGTTTTTAAGAATTTTTGTCAAATATTTTATAATATAATATAATTTTTTTAATAAGTAGATAATTATTAAAATTATGTTTTAAAACATGCATTTTATAAATCTACAGGCCAATATCAGGGGCATCAATGAACCCTGCAAGAAGCATAGGGCCAGCACTCGTGTGGAACCAATACAAAGGGTTATGGGTTTACGTGGTGGGACCGATGGTTGGAGCCATAGGTGGTGCATGGGCATACAACACCATACGGTTTACAGATAAGCCGTTGTCTGAGATAACCAAGGGTGCATCTTTCCTGCGTCGGAAACCAACTCAACGATGATTCCTTGATGCTTGTTTGAATCCACGGTCTTTTTGCAAGAGAGTACATGTACAAAAAATAAAGATGATATATATATATATATTCTCAGCTTCTTTATCGTAATTTCTATAAAAAGGGATTTCGTATGATCGCACCCTAACCTCTTGTAATACGTAGATTCACTCAGGGACGGCCATGGCCACGTGCAGCCCGTGCGGCCGCACAAGGCATCAAAGCCTAAAGGAGCATCAAGTTGTCATCTATTACTAGTTTTGGGTTTAATAATTTGGGAATTGGAGAATTGAGCTTTGACTATAAAAACAAGCCGAAAGCCTAGTAGTAATGAATACTAAATGCACATCGTGAACCTGTTAACTTAACGCCATAATTTCAATAACTCAATCTAATTTCTATTGTTCTTCAAAGTTCGACTATTTTGATTTTCAAGGCATGGAGTTCTATTTTCCAGCCGATTGACAGACATGAAATTAGATTCAAGAAATCAAAGATGGAAATCTCGAATGACTGATTTCTACTGTTGATTCAACTTATCAAGTTGTCGTGTGAGTCATATTATGATATATGAATCTTTAAACTTTTTGCAAAAAAAAATCTAAATTTCTAACTGGTTATTATAAATTTGGGTTATGTGGTCGTGTGAGTTACTGACCTACTAGGCTAAGGCTAAGGGGCTTTTGTCATTTTAATAATGAGTCTTCCTCTTGCATATTGAAATACCTGAGAATTGAAAATTTCAATGCACATGAGCGCATCACTGTATTAACATAGCTAGAGTACACTGCACAACATTAATAACATATTGTGATATTATGTTAATTATTGGACACTTGTTCTTTGCAATGCAGCAGTAACATAAATTATGAATTTTACAATTTATTATTGTTCTTTTGACTTTTATTTACTTTAAGGTTTAGCATTACCGCATTAAATTTAGAGGCTGTATGATTGGTTTTTTTTTATTAAGTTTTATATGAATAAAGTTGTCTGTATGAATTAATCTGTTTGTATAAGTTGGAAAAGTTTTTGTTTGAGATAGTTTTTTTTTGCAGATGTAAGGAGAGTTTTTCTAGTTGGAAGGGACATATTTGGAAAAAGAAAACTTGGTTTTTCTATATAAAGCTCTCCCTAAAAGCTTACTGGATAAGTCTTTTTCTATATCATTAAGTCACTATGAAACAGTCATACATAGTTGAGCGAATAAGTTGTTAGTTCCATTAAGCTTATTAAGTTGCTAATACATAGGCCTTTAGCCTTTAGTCGTTAGACCTGTAACTTTTGAGTTTTACTTTTTGCTTACTATGAGAGTAATTTGGATGTAATTTACTATTGTAGTTAAAAACTAATTATAATTTTCCTTGTCTTTCAAGTCCCATATATTGAAATAAAGTTGATATTTTGTTAATTTCAATTTGGAAAAGGGAAAACTGGAAAAGAATGAAGCACGATCTTAATCTATGATTTATCATTTTATTATTCTATATTTTGTATTCGGGGTTTTGGTTTTTATGTCCCCCCCACCCCAATATTTTTTATTATAATTAATAAAAATCAGCATGGGGATAAGACACTTAACTTAAATAGGTTCTAAAATCTTTAAAAAATTGCATATTTCATTGGCTTAAAAAAATAATCTTAGGAGCATTTGTAATTATTTTTGCACAGGGCATCAAAAATCTTAGGATCGACCCTGGATTCACTACACCGTACAAATGAGCGAATACATGATTCTCAACCCTTTTTCTGGTGGTTTACAAAAATGTGTAAAGATTGTAGGGAGAGGGGAGCAACCACACCTACTTAGATCCGTTTTTGCTATATTTGTTTTGAAATTTCAAATGAGAACCATAAATATTATAAAAAATTGGAAACCAACTATTTTATGTATTATTTATGATGAATAACCGTAAATAATCCTGAGAATTGTTTATGCCAAAAATTACACCAAGTATAATTTAAGATTTGTTTGTGGAACTTTAACAATTAAAGATCGATCAACTTTGAAATTAACACTGACAACCGATAAAAGAAAAGATTAATCAACACAGGAGAATTGGTGATACGGGAGAAACCCTTAAACGAGGGAAAACCATGGACGATACTGAAGATCGTCGATGCACTATGGATGCCAAACAAGGATGTCATCCTTTTGAACAATTACAATGATGTAAAGTAGTATTTGGACGTCGGTCGTGGAAAATAATAAAGAACAATGATTGATTTTGCTAGTGAACTTCATATACGTAGAGATTCTAATGATCTGGGGGTTGATTTTTGTGATCTTCTAGTCTTTTATAGGTGATTCATGAGACTGAGTCAACCGTTGACAACAGTCAACTACGATTGCCATTGAATGAAAAAGAAAATCGTTAGTATTGAATGGTCTTGAATCTTAGCTTTGACATTATGATCTTGTGAGTTAATGAGCGTATGCGTCTTTTATTCCTACAATAAAAATCATAATTAACGGTCAATGTAATAAGTAAGTCGTTATCATGCGTTGAAGGAAATTTCGATTGTATCAGGGATTGAAGAAAAATAATTCTCGACCAAGGGTCGAAGATCTTGTAGTTGAAGATAACCACGATCTTGTATATCATGATCATCGGTCGTACAAATCCTAGCGGTACCTGTCGAGGTTGAGCGAAATATCCTTGTCAAAGGAAAATCCTCGTTCATCAAAGGAGTGAATTTTCACAAAAACAAGTATCAGATATTTTCATTATACATGAATATCATGTATCTTCTTTACAAATAACTTTCACCATGAATAACTATCACAATATTGATTATAAATAGTCATGTAAGCGCATATTTGGACTTCGATATCATATATCGTAACAATTCATCGAATCGGCGGTGGAATTTAATTCTAATGCCATTTTTTGTTCGTTTAAACTTTAAAGTAATATATGCTAATTAACCACTACACATTAATTAACCACTTAATCGACACTTCTTTAAATATGTGTTGTTTAATGGTCGGGTGTTTCTATAACTCGAAAGAGTTTCCAATAGATTTTTTGTCGTAATTGCAGTTGCCTCAACGCTGCGACATTTTGATGCATAAAAATTGTTGCATCATTTCGTGAAATCGACATAGCAACATAAGTATTGTACGATCCTATATATAGAGCGCTTGTCAATGTTCTAACGCGTTGGATCTATCCTACTTTGTTTTTCAGTTGAGGAAACTATCCTAAATATGTTTTCGTAATATATCATTAGTGTCGAGCGTTAAATTAAGACTCATCATCCACATGTATTAAACACAGCTTTTCTCTGTGAAATAAAGATACTTGATCTTTACCATTTACTGTTTTTTTGTTGACGATAGTATGAATCATGGGCGAACCTATAGTGGTGCCAATGGTGGCACGTGCCACCGTATTATTTCTCCGTCGAAGAGTAAAAATAAATAAATTCGTAAAAGGTGCAACCGTATTAATTTGTTGTGTGCCACCGTATGTATTATGAAACTACAATGTGAACAAGTTTTTTTTGGTAGAGTTGGTTTGCAAGGCTTTTATTCCACCTCATACCGGAGTTCGAATCCTGTTAGTGTCATTTTATTAATCAAATACTGCCACATTTTGAAATTTTTTCTTCATATCTGTTTCTTACACCGTTTGGAAAAAGTTTTGGGTCTGTCCCTGGCATGAATGAGTGTATACTTGTACAAATAAACACGTGTTTAAAATAGTAAACTATACCAGTAACTTTGAAATCATAATAGCCGGTTTGCTTCATTCAAATTTCAAATTACCAGTCGATATGATACAAATGTCAGAAGTTGTTGCATTCTACTTATTATTTTGAATAATTAAATTATAAGATTTAAGTGGTCTAATATAATCATGTAAGTATGTGTATATATACGTAAGTGATGATGTTGGTTCTTAATTATTCCCAATCCCGAATATTTAAACATATATATATGACTTACAGAAATTAAAATAACACCGGCCCCTATAGTCTTTCGTTGACGAGAGAATTATAACCGATATAAGATATCAGTTATTTTGTGTATGATGTTAAATCTGTACGTTATTTTATCACTTGTTTGAAATTTTCGACTTTCATAAGTATGATAGCTTATAAAAGTATTAATTGGATCCCAACCTTTTAGGGCACTCAAAATTCATTAAGGTTTTTTAAATAGGTTTGACATATATATATATATATATAACATGCATTACAGCTTCTAATAGGATAAATATATAGGTATCATCCTCTTGAGAAACCCATGTCCATTTTCATCCTTAATATGGCTCCGTAGCTGAGTTTTCTCTCTCTCTCTGAAATTAACTCAGAAAAACATACGGTGGTTGTGTGTATGGCGGAGACAGGCGGAGGAGGGGCAGCCATTAATGGACACCATGGGCAAACACTTGATATTAAAGATGAAACCTTTTCTTCACATCATCAAACCTCCATTTTCACTCTTCCTTTTCTCCAAAAGGTGATTACTTAATTAACTTCTTCTTTAATTCATCATCAAAGCGTATGTGTGTGTGTATATATATATATATATATATAGGGTTGGGTTCACGTGAGACCAATGGTTTTTTGTGAGACCCGTAAGACCAATTTATGTTCATTGATCAACTTTATAAGTTAATGATCTAAAGTTGCACGGTGGCAATTTTGTGATTATTAAGAAGTTTCGTGGCAATTTTATGATTATAAATGTTCAGATTGTATATCTAATTTAAGGGTTGAGAATTGGTCTTACGGGTCTCACGAAAAAATTTTGGTCTCACTATCAACCATGTCCATTTGTACAACCGATGCAACACAATTAATTGAGATATTTATAGAAATGGTGAGAGTTTATTTATTATGATTTGAATATTTATGGAAGATGAATAGAGTTCATTAATTATGATCAATATTTTATATTATGAAATAATCAAAATTTCTATGAAATCACATACTTATCAAATTAAATGGACAATTGAGATTGAGTTGTATTGATTGTACAAATGTAAAAGGTTGTATAATAACCAACATATATATATATATATATATATATATATATATATATATAGCATTGACCATCATATAGTAGGCGACCTTTACCCTGACCGTTGATCGTATTGACTAACCTGCGTGCATCATTTTGGACATGTTGAATTATGATTTTACTCTGTAATTACATGTGATCTTGAAACTTCTCGTAAAATTGAACATCTTCTCGTTTGATCTTACCCTAGCTTTATTACTTACGGATTGTAATTTTGGACAGTTGATAGCGGAGGTTCTGGGAACATACTTCATGGTATTTGCAGGTTGTGGCGTGGTGGTTGTGGATGTCGAGAAGGACAACATGATTGGTCAGACTGGAATATCCATCGTATGGGGGTTGGTAGTGATGGTGATGATTTATTCTGTCGGCCACATCTCCGGTGCCCATTTCAACCCTGCCGTCACCATTGCTTTTGCTTCTTGCAAAAGATTCCCATTAAAAAACGTGATTACGACTTTAACAATCATTAAATGTAATCAAAGTGTTACGTTTTTGTCCATCATAACTTTATTGTATATATTATTTCAGGTACCTGCATACGTATGTGCTCAAATCATGGGATCGACCCTAGCAAGCGTATCCCTACGATTAATATTCAACTGGAAACACAATAATTTAGGAGCGACGGTTCCCTCTGGATCCGACGTCCAATCTTTGGTGTTGGAATTCATCATAACATTCTATCTCATGTTCGTTATCGCTGGCGTTGCAACTGATAACCGAGCTGTTAGTATCACATTTCATTTTTCTCTTATGAATTTATAAACGTATCAGCTTTTAAAATATATAAAATAGTTAGTTTCCGAGGAGGTATACTTGTATAAACAGACGAAAGTTCGAGTTTGACAAAGTTACATTCCTTTGGGGTTCAGGCTTTTTATGGATATAAGTTATCCACCTAAAAAATCGTTGTATATCTGATTTGCTTTTCACATGATACTCTTAATATGGGCGATGTGCGTTGGCTCGTAGAATCATAATTTACAAAATCTTTTATATAATTTTTAAAACATCAAGTTAATGAATACCTATATCATTGGAGTTGACTTTTTATGAATTAATATATCATTTATTTAATTTGGGTTGACTTTTTTATAATAAATAAAATCAAAATATATATAGGGTATATTTCTTTTACAATCATGTGTATTTGTACAACCCTTGCAACCCAATTAATTAAAATATTTATAGAAATGATTGGAGTTCATTTATTATGATTTGAATATTTATGGAATATAAATAGAGTTCATTAATTATGATTAATATTTTATATTAGGAAATAATCAAAACTTTTATAAAATCACATATTCATCAAATTAAATGAACGGTTGAGATTGGATTGTATTGGTGTATATATATATATATTAAAATCATTTGTATTTTTTTATTTAATTATTATATTTGTAATAATGTTGATACAGATAGGTGAACTAGCAGGACTTGCTATTGGATCAACCATTCTACTTAACGCCATTTTTGCCGGGTATGACATATTTTCATACGTGTTAAATAATACTAGAACGGTACTTGCGTGATGCAGCAAGATACATCATGATTTTAACATTTTATTTTATTTTTTATCTCAGTCGATGTTATAATATAGTCTTATGTGATTTTGAAAAAGCGATAATTTTTTTATTTTTGAATAAAATATAAATTTGAAGATATCATAAAAATTTGACAAAAATATACCAATATTAATATCAAATTAACTATTTAAAATTCCTATTTTTTGTGTAATTTTTAATTCGAATTTTTTATTATAATTTTAATTTAGGTTCAATAACGAAATAATTTATCTTTCGTTTAATAATATAATTTTTCATAAATATAATAATTAATTATTTTGTTAAAACTCGATAATTATCCTAATTGTATTTTAGATTTTTTATATTTTAAAATGAGATGTTTATTCTTAATTTGATTATATTTATCCACAATTAGTTACACAAATTCAAACATGGAGCTTTAATAAGTTGTATTTATGCATAATTACTTGTAATGTTGAATTTTAAGTAATMTGCATCAATATACAGTACTTAATGCATAAAAAATTGTTTTTAAGAGTTTTTATCAAATGTTTTATAATATAGTATTGATAACATATTTATTATTATAAAAACTATTTATTAAATTAATTGTCTGATTTTCTGATTAATACTATTTAAAAAGTATTTTCTACACGTTTGATCTGTTTTTAGCTTAATTTTTTTTATAATTTCAATTGCTAAAAAATGTTTTTTTGTTGGTTGGGGTGGGAAGGCCAATATCAGGGGCTTCAATGAACCCGGCTAGGACCCTAGGCCCGGCTGTTGTGTCGAGCCAATACAAAGGCTTATGGGTTTACATATTGGGACCAGTTGCGGGAGCTGTAGCTGGGGCATGGGCGTACAACATCATAAGGTTCACTACTAAGCCGTTACATGAGATCGTCAAGGGTGCATCTTTCCTTCAACGTACCAACCCCATGTGATTTTTGTATTCGTAGATTATTCATGTATGATTGTACTTTCTTTTAAACGTCTTGATTTACTGTAGTTCAATACCGTTTAACTTATTCATTAAGCAGGGGTAGGTGAAGAAGTAGACATGGAGTTTTACATCATCTCATCCCGTTTTATAAGGAGAAAAACGGACGACCACCTGCTTTGCAAATAGCCTCGAGTCACCGCATTTGAACCTCTGTGGCCACAAGGGAATTTTTATTCCTCCTTGAATTTGAACCTGGGACTTCCTGGTACTTTTGACCTTTGGAGCCACGCTCAAACCAATCAGGCACCACCCTTGTGGTTTAAACGTTACTATATTGTTATATACACAAACCGTTTGAATCTAAATTTGATATATATGGATATAACAAGTCCACATGAAGCGATTCATCCTCCTCAAAATTTAGTAATCATTAATTAGCTTTGGGGAAGATCTTATAGATCAATAAGTTCAAACGAACCGAATGAGAACTAAACAACGACGCACCTTCCTTTATGGATTTTGGAAACCAACGCCAATCGTTAGAAAAATGCATCTTCTTTGCGTTAATTAATCTAAGTCGCACCCTTACTGATGATGGGCTAGGGTTTCACCTACGAACCAAGAGAAATATCATTTTGGTGGCATGCATATGGCACCAACCCGAAAGTAAGCCACGACAAGCAACCGACGTCCATGCATGATGCATGTTGTTTTCCAAAACAAGACAAAACGAAAAAGTCAAATAGTCTCAAGTGTAGGAACATGACCTCAAGCCTAAAACATTAAGATCACGTTTGGTTCATAGAATGTTTTTGGATATAATGGAATCTGTCAAAAGAATTGAAATGAAATGTTGTCAGGTTTGACCACATGTTCGATTGACATACATTGAAATAGAATCTATTGAAAAATTGAAATCTGTTTGTTTGGTTCAAAAAATGTTTTAGGTTATATTTGGATTAAGCAGTATGTCTGGGATTATGAAAATACAACATTTCATTCCATCAAAATCCCAACTTTTTGTGGAGGAATGTTGAAATCCTTTGTTTCTAAAATTTGGTGGATTTTGAAAACCCCTTTCTTAAAAAAGAATGAACCAAACAACATAACGAAATTAGGTTAAAAAAATTCAACATTCTAATTTCATCATTTGTTTTATAGGATTTGATGGGATTTATAATAGATACTCGTTCACATATCAATTCAAAAACCCGTTCACCTTTTAAGACCCCCAAAAGATTTCCAAACCGAGTCATCCCGTACTCCAAAAAAGCAGAGGTGGGGTCCGGAGAGTGGGACGGATCTACCTGGCCAAGGTGCCAATGTCAAGTGGTTATCCAAAGTGTTGGAATACGCTCTACCTACGGTACCTAACTAGTCTTTCTTTTCGGTAAGTAAGAATACATTGACCGATGGAGGAGAACCCCCGAAGTAAACATAAACGAAGGGGCATGTCGACAAGTCATCATGATAAAGTTGGTGCAATATTCGGTCTTCTTAAATCCGCCCATGTCGACAAGACCTTACCGTACAAGATTTCTATAAAAAGAACTCATCTTGACTCGTACGTAAACCATCATAAATCCTAATACCCAATTGAACAATATACAAATCCGCTTGACATCAACTATAAATTAAAAAGAAAAGGAAATAAAAAATTATCGCATATATATACATGATAAATTTATAAAATCTTGATCTATAAGAACTACATACAAATCAACTTGGACACCCATTTGCATATTGCATTCTTTTAATCATCAATATAAGTGGTAGAGAAAGAGTAGGTTGCATACCAGGAACAGAGATGAGCACGGCAGCTAACTTCGACCAGGAGGGGTGTTGTGATATGCATTATTATTCGAAGAACGTAGCCATGGGAAAACAATCGGTGTACAAAATAGCAGCGTGAATAGCAACTCCACCGTAAACATCATCATGCTAATCCACAGGTATATCATAATCCTCCAATGCCACAACATCCTCTTCAGAAAAGGAAGTTGAGACTCTAACTTTACAGATGCAGCATACAATTCAGGTATACCACCTCCTCTTTCAAATTCGGCTCGTTTTTCAAGAACAACCCTCGAGCAGGACGTAGGGATATCTTTTTCGGTATACCCTTTGAATTTTATGTTCAGAGTTTGTGTTTCTGATGAATAGCCAGTGAGAAGAGGAGCCAAATTCAAGACAGTCGATACAAGGCGGATAGGCTCACTTTTAAATTGCAACATAGAGGGCTGCCTTATACTTGCAAGGCGTTTACCATCACCAGAAAGAAAGTCTACCCTCACCTTCAATGAAAAATCAATTAACAATTGTTTAAGAGCTTGACCACCATTTTCTAATTCAATCATCTTGTTCCTAGATGTTCTATAGGAAATAAAATGTAATTTCATTACTCCACAGAGAACCAGCGCAAAGTACATCACAACGTAACGAAGTTTGTCTTGGTTCCTAATTAGTATAACAAATAATTTTTCTCTGAACCAATGTAATAAAGTTTCAAATTTTCCCATTTAATGTAAAAAGTTTCAAAATTTCCTATTTCATGCAACAAAGTTCAAAATTTTCCTATTTTTTTACCCTGATCTCGTAATATTCGATGACATGGATGTCAAATTTATCGCCCCCTTTGCCGTAACCCTTTCTTGAACCTATCGTAAATGGGTATCCACAAATGTTATAAAATTAGCAGCTTAAAAATGGGTGCTAAATAGGAAATTTTGAAACTTTGTTACCTCGATTGTGCAAAAAAATTATTCATGACACTAAAATAGAAACTAAACCAAACTTTGTTGCATTTTAATGCATTTAGCTCTTTATCCTAAGTCACAAGATAAGAAGAAATTTCACCATCTTTCTTTGATTACAGGGACAAGATTAATATACATCTATATAATATTCCTATATTTAGATTTATAGCTATCAGATCAAGGCTTAATGTATGATCAAACTATGAATTATGAGCTACTGCAAATCACATACCTGGAAAATCCCAAGATTTCTGTTGTAGTCCGATTCTGGTAAAGTTAAGGAGACCGTCGCCTGTAGTTCATGACCAAAAGGTATAACCCGTGATTCATCCGTCTTCCCAATCTTGCTCTTTTCGCTGAGCTCCAGAAAGGAGGAATCTGGACAAGAAATTATAGGCACAACCGCCTCGGGAGCATCTCTTGAATAATCAAAAGTTAACTGCTCTGTTATCCGTAACGGCTCCTGCACTATCCATTTCATCATTATGCCACCAAGAAGAAAAGCCGGAACTAATAAACAGATCAAAATGAAGCCACAATAAGCCAACCACAATAAGCCCCATCCCACACGAAAACACAGCTTCCATCTGGAATCACTCTTTTCAGTCCATAGGTTTATAATCCATGAAACAATCGCCAGTATACAATTTCTCCCATACATCATTATCCCAAAGGGATCGGTCGCAAACATGTATAAAGATTGCATTGACCACATCGGAAATGTGACAGAGGTTGCTAAGAAGTTTGATTGAAACCCAACAGCTTTAATCACCAATTCAGCTAAGGTATAAAGAAGATATGCAATAGAAACTGGCGGATCAGATGATGTAATATACTCATCGTTGACTCTTTCACCGCTATTGACACTAGTAATCACGGAACTCTCATCTGTCTCGTCCTTTAACTGTCCACCATCACCGCCTGAACTCAAATGAACCGTACCGGAGTCCAATTTTCCATTTAATTTCTCGTCGTCCTTCAAACTCCAGGATCGTTCGTGCTTCTTACGAGGAGAAACAATAGCACCGTGAGGATCAAAATCTATCAACCCATCAGGATTATTTTTGAAGAACTGAGACTGGGAGAACCCTTTGTCACTGCGTTGAGAAACAAGTCGGCGATGTCGGAGGCCGGCAGAGGAAGGAGACGACGGGGAGTCTGTCGTGTGCTCGGATAAGACCGAAACCGTAGAGTCCTCGTGTTTATTGGTATCAAGCTCGGAACTAGAAAGCGATTGTTGTTCGGATTCGAAGGAATTTGAAGCATCGACAAAAGGGAATTCTTCAAGGGGGTCGTGGAATTCCGCTTCGTGGCCTCCAATTGCCTTGCTAGTATCATCTTGGGAGATCAAATTAGAAGATTGCTGTTCCATTGAAGAGGAATTGGAAGAATCATCTAGGGTTAGGGTTTGGATAATCGGGGAAGAAACGATTATAACGAACCTAACGTTATCTTTTCATATTCGCGTGTTTTACTTGTGTAACATGCCATCGTCATGAAGCATATTCTCTCCATTTTTTATTTTAACAAAACGTTGTTTGTTTACTAGGTAACATTTAAATCGTTAAAAAGTGAATTTTGTTTGGTAAAAAAAAGTCTTTTTTTAATGGTTCTAAAAACTTCTGAATGATTTTGTATCATGAATCTCCCTTAACCATTAAACCTCCTAATTTTATTGTAAACAGTTACTAAACAATTATATTTCATTTTGCATTATATCATGAAAACCTCTTAATCATTCTGACCACTTAATCATTACATCAAACCATTTAGCAAGTGCGAAACAACCTCTAAGAGTAAATTACAGATTTGGTCCCTATGATAGTATCAGAATTTTAGATTAGGTACCTCAAACAAACTAATTGCAGATTTAGTCACTATGGTATTGATTTAGTTGCAAATTGGATCCCTCCTTCTAAACTTTATTAGTTTGGAGCCATTAGACTCCTCACGTGCTCCCCGTGTGAGGGGTATATTTGTCATTTTAAAAACATTTAATATTGATATCAAAGAACCCAAATCAAAAATCCATTTTGTATGCTTCCTGATCACGTTCTTCATATCATAAAAAACTTTGTCGTCTTCTTCTTCAACCTACGATGATATTCATCATCTCTATCAATCCTTCTATGTTCATCTAGAACCCAACAAAAATGGTGGGCACATCATGGCTTATTCGAAGCAACTTAGCAGAGCAATATGTTCTTGAAGTATATCGTGAGTCTGGTTTTGTTCGAATTCTTTGGTGTTGTTCGAATTTTTTGGTTACTAAGTTTAGTCATTAGGGTTTTTACAATTGGTTGAAAAACTGTGTACAAACCATTAGTGGTTTACATCATGTCCATGTGGTGTTCCCTTTTAGTTTATCCCAAAATATTCCATAACTCCACATTGAAGAAACTGTGTATAAACCATAATTCCAAAAGATTCCATAACTCCACATTGAAAAGATAGGATCGTTTCTGGAGATAACAACTTTCAAAATGAGAATTTTCATTGAAGAAATAGAAGCATTACATATCAGACGGGATACTTAACGCGTTAGCTACATCACTGCATGGGTCGATGCGCATCCCAAAGATTTTCATTAAACAAAAACTAAATTAAACTTAAAACCCAAAATAACCTATTAAACCCATCTGGCTGAAAATCTTTGGGACGCGAATTAAAACAGATGAACCACATAATAATCTGGCATGTTAGAACTTCTTTATTCATAGCTTTGATCAGTACTTCAAGTTCTTGTCTAGATTTGTTGTTGTCGATGATGTGCGAATTAAAATAGATGAACCACACTTACGTTAAACCATCGTCGGCTTTAGGGGGAAGAAGATGAAGAAAAATGGAAGGAGATTTGGTCGATTGAAAATACCTCGGGGAGAGGAGGACGAAGAAGATGATTAAAATGGAAGGATTTGTCTTGGTCTCTTGGATGTAATAGAAGAATGGAAGGAGTTCTTGATTTGTACGCTTCAATATCAAATAAGAGAGAACGAATAAACAAATTAAAATTTTATTAATTTAATGTGATTTTTAGAAATGACAGAATTGCCCCTCAAGTGGGGGGCACGTGAGGGGGTTTAGCGGCCCATAGTTAAATGGAGTTAGATGGAGGGACTTGATCCGCAACAAAAGTGAAACCACGACGATTATGACTATAATTAATTTGTTTGGGAGACCAATCCGAAATTGTCATATAACCATATGGACCAAATTCGTAATTTACTCTTTCAATAATAAAAGATAAAAAAAATATTGTTGAATTTTTATATATTTCGTTTAATCCGGATACCAATTTTGAAAAAACTTGATTATTGTCAACACAATCGACCCTATACAGAACCCGTTTTCAAGAACACCAATATGATGGAGTATTTTTTGACTCACTCAGGGGCTGAGGCTAGCGAGTGACATGGGATCGAACTCATGAGTTGTCTTATATATAGGCAAAGTCACTGTCACTCCACTCATTTGCTAACTAAACTACACATACCAGAGGCTTATATATTTTATTTAATAAAATTGTTTGACATATAGCAAGGTCTTTTCCCCTTATGTGGATAGACTTGAACTGGATTGGATAAAACAGTATTGGCGAGAGAGGTGGATGGCTGAAAAAATTGTGGAAGATTATACGTTTTAATTTTGCATGAGCATTTTCGTAATTTATCAATTTTATCTCATATGTTTATTATACCTATTTCAGTGAGGATTTTATCGTCATATAGGTTCAGGCAAAATCGAATTCAAAAAAAAAAGATTCCATAAGACTGGAGAAGATGTTTTGAACGTTACTAAAGGTTCGAAGTGTGACAAGAAACTAAATTTTTTTTTGTAATGAGTTGGGCATGAGGAATAAAAGGGAAGGAATGATGAACAAGGATGATATTCACACTACAAAAAATGAAGAATATCAGCGAGGGAAATTTTCCTTCTTGATCCGTCGCTAAAGGGGTCTTCCATCGGTGATCCATCGTTGATACTCCGTCGGTCAAAAGCTCGTAGGTAATGCTATCAGCGACGGATCAACGACAGAATTCAGCAACGGATTTGCGAGAGAACCTTTCAGTGATAAGATCAGCAAGGAAACAAATTCAGCGACGAATCAGCGAGGGAACAATTCAATGACGGATTAGCGAAGAAACTTTCAGCGAGGGAACTGGTTTTTAGCCTTGATCAACGAGGATTTCTTTCGTTACTGATACCTTGTTTTCTAATAGTGTCAATTGAGTACTGTTAATTGTTCTGGTGTTGATAATTATGTTAATAAGAAGGGGACTGCTTTGGTTTGTATCGATACAAATCAAACAAGTTTAAAGATATTAAAACACGTGATGCTATTTCATTGAGACCCTTGACCTACTTTGAAGATATTAAAACTGGTACAAATCATAAGAGGTTTGAAGACATTGATCCCAAGTCAAATGCGTATTTATGAACGGGCAAAATTGAATTGTTGTAGTTCTCCCTTTGTTGTTGAATCACATAACACAAAAACACATGAGGTTAATGAAAAAAATAAAAGGTAGAACTATAAAATGACTATTTATATCATTCAGACGGTTTATTTAACACATCAAATGAGCAACAGTTTAACTTAATCTATAAACATAATTTAATCCATAATAGATTTACTCGGTCCCAATTTCAATCAACGAATTATAATATCATCTATTCTTATAGCAAAACAAAACAAATTAATATGATATCATATCATGAGGCATCTGGCATGTATAACTCAGTTGGCAAAGGGGTATGGTGATTTTTTCCAAATTACAAGATCGGTCATAGGTTCGATCTCATGCCCCCGCTAGCCTTAGCCGTTGAGTGAACCAAAACATGTCCTTTTATATTGGTGTCATTGAAGGCGGGTTTTGTGTGGGACTGGTTGGGATTGTCGGTAATCAATTTTTTGTCCAAACATCATATAATGTGGATTTTAGAAGGTTGAATAGTTTTCTTAACGGTCATAAACAGTAGAAAGTTGCACTGTTTTAGCAATGTTTTTAGAATTTAAGGACAAAATGGAAAACTAAGGAAACTACATTGTAACTTTATTGTATTTGTTTTGGGGTAATAAACTTTGAAGGGCTTTTTTGATCAATTCATACAAATATAGGGGTGAAAATGTGAAAAAAGTCCAATCAAATGAATAACTTGTGCATGGTGAAGATTCGATTTTAGGACCCCACAAACATATGAACGGAAAGATAATGTCGTGTGAAATATTTAATTTTATGGCTTTTGCAAAAGTCATTCAACTTTTTCAATGTTACCAAACTTAACTCAATTTTAATATTGAAAATTATATATATATATATATATATATATATATATATATAGGGGCCTAATCAAATGAGAACTAATTAGTTTGTGGTAACTGTGAGAACCAATATTAACCACAAATCAATAGATAAATTAGGAAATTTATAATTTTGGCAATTTTGAATTAAAATATTAATGCAAGGATATTTTTGGTATTTTAAAACTTTCCTCCCTCATCTCTTCTCTCTCCGGCCACCGTCCGCCGTCCGCCGGCCACCGTCCTCCGGTGATACTACAATGGTATCACAATGCATCATATATGTG